TTCTGCTGCATCTATGATGGCTACACGCCGCGACCATTGCTGCTGCTGCGCGCAGCAGCAGCGGGAAGCATCTCTTAGGTTATCGTGTGCTACCTGTCCGTCTGCTGTAAACCCAGCAGCAGCAAGAGCAGCAGCTCGTCGCTGCTGCTGCCGCTGCTGCTGCTGCTGCTGCTGCTGCTGCTGCTGCTGCTGCTGCTGTTGTTGTTGGGCTTTTGTAGACGCGCCGTTTGGTGTGTCGCTGCGGCGTTTTTTTCTGCTGCTGCTGCTGTTTCTTTCTGCTTTTTTTGCTGCAGCATCTGCTGCTGCTGCTGCTGCTGCTGCTGCTGCTTCCGGGCAGTCTGGCTCCCGGTGCAGCAGCCACCGAGAGAAAGGCTCCTCCTGCAGCAGCAGCAGCAGCGGCCGCGGGCACAGCAGCAGATCGCTTGAGTCAGCTGTAAGCCTGCAGCGAAGGTTCACAGGCAAAGAAGGAATGCAACATACACCTTCTGCTGCTGCTGCTGCTGCTGCTGCAGCAGCTGCTGCTGCTGCTGATTCTCGTGCTGCGGCTGCTGCTGCTGATGATGATGCACTTGCTGCTGGTGCTGCTGTCGAGTCTCCTGCTGCTGCTGCTGCTGCTGCATGCTTCTCGGCAGCGTTTCGCGGGGTTGCATTTGCTGCTGCTGCTGTTGCTGTTGCTGCTGCTGGTGCAGAAGCAGCAGCAGCTGCTGCTGCTGCAGCAGCGGGAGCAGGAACGAAGCGTACGTTGCAGTGCTGCTGCAGCAGCGGCATCAGCATCTGCTGCTCGGCCAGGAGCTGCCTATACACCCGAGCAGGCTGCAGCGGGAAGGGGGCCTTGCGGTGTATCTGCTGCAGGCTGCTGCTGAGTGTATAAGGCATATCTATAAGAAAGATAGCAGCAGAAAACAGCAGCAGCAGCAGCAGCAGCAGCTTCTCTGCTGCAGCAGACAAGCCCCGAGCAACAAACGCCCACGATAAGCATGCATCGCCATCTGCTATATATTCCAGCAGCAAACCACAACGCAGCACAAAAGCACCACTGCTGCTGCTGCTGCTGCTGCTGCTGCTGCTGCTGGTGCAGGGAGAGAAAAAGTATACAAGCAAACCTTCGCTTGCTGCGTCTGTTACTGCTGCTCGCAGCCCCCCCCGCAGCTGCTGCAGCGCCTGGTGTCGCTGCATGGGCGCAGTGACATAACCCTGACGAAAAGAGGAAGAAGCAGGTATGTCTTGCTGCTGCTGCTGCTGCTGCTGCTGCTGCTGCTGCTGCTGTGGTTGCTGTTGCTGCTGCTGGGGCTGCTGCTGCTGCTGCTGATCATGGGGACTCAGCTTGTGAGGACTCT